TGGATGCCAGTGAAAGCCTCAGTTCTCTGGGTCTTGTGTTTTGGAGTTGGTTATGCAAGGGCTGTTTGTATCTGCAGGTACAGGCTTGACATTGCTTGTCCAGGTTTAGCAAGATCTGCTGAAGAAAGGAATTGATGAGTTCCTCCAAGAGGATGCATCAGCTGAATAGCAGATTCAGAGAGGAGTCATGCATCCCCAATGCTTTATTCCAATTTCTAGCTGAGCAGTTAGGCTGTCAGCACTAATGCAGGAAAGAGTAACTGGCATTGCACTTCATGTCTCATGAACAAACCATAATAACCTGCATTAACGCTTAAAAGGAACTTGAAATGTCAAATCTTTCTCGTTGTTCACAGACTATGATACTCTTTTTTACTGGGAGTAATTTTTTTGTACCCTCAGTTACCCTCTTCCATCTTCTTTTCTTTGTGCTGAAGCTTCTCCTTGCTGCAGCTGGCTGAACATATGGACCTTGACTGCCTTCCACCTTGTTGGTTGTGTAAGGATGCCAAAAATCAGTGCAACTTGACTTGTTTGAGAAACAAGTTTTTAGCAAAAGTTTCTCTTGTAGTTAAAATTTGCATGACTTTTTTCCAATAAAATCTCAAGGGACTTATGATAACTCATACCCTGTTTTGTTTCAATGTTTTGGTTAGGTTTGACGTAAAAATTCGGAGTTTAAAATGTGTAGTTTCTCTTTTACTAATGCATAAAGCACAAATGGGCAATAATTACAAAGTATCCTTGTCTGGACAGATAACACTTAGCCCTTTTTTGCTTCCTTGAGGTGCCTGATGCTTTATGTAAACAGCATTAATGGCAGAGTGAATTGTCAGTGTGGCCCTGAGGGATGCAAAGGGAGTTTTTGATTCTGAAAGCATTGTGTTAGCTTTCTTCTACAAAATAGAGCTGTATTTCCCTATTTCTTTTTCTCCAGTAAGTGCTTATGTCCTCTTGCCTTATCAAACATTAAGAATTCTGATGAATAGCAAGAATGCTTTTAGAGATGGCAAGGGATGTCACATTTTATGCTATATTGACTAAAGATAGTGCTCAGTGTTAGAAATACTGAAACTCCAGTCTCTTTATGATGAATTTCTTGCTTTCTTCTCCCTTTATTCATTATCCTGTTCTGCTCATGTTCTTTGACCTAGTGTATTTTGACAGTAAATTGAGCACAAGAGCAGCTTGGATAACTGTTTTTTGATGTTTGATAGATCAACTCATAAAAGTAGGTAGAACCTCATTATTGTGAGGGAGGAAAAACAGAAAAGGGTGTATATCTAAGCTGCCTTGAGATCTGAAAACAAAATCTCACAACTTGGGACACAGAAAAGCAAGGTGATTTCAGAGAAATAGAACGATAAACCCTCACCATCTTGGAATTTCTTGCTATACTTCCTGACTATGGCACCTTCAAAAGACAGAACATCAGAGAAGCTGGTGTTAACCACTGCAGTTTGGACATAGAAAAGGGAGAGTGGCTAAAATTCATGGATGCCTTCATAAAACATTGGGAATTGATTCAAGAACAGGTGTTTTGGAGAAATGGAAGATAGGAGAAGGAAGAAAGGCTTGGAAGATTTTACTGCAGAGCCTGATAAATCTTACTGGATCTTGGAATGAAGGTGGCACTTTGGACTGAACTGAAACCATTCTTTGCAGAGTAAACAACACAAAAAGTTGTAAATACTCAAAGTTCAATCTTGAAGCCATCAGAATTTCTGATTGCATTCTGATTCATTTTAATTCATACAACATGCACAATTTCCTCAGGATTCATGATCTTGAGTTCCCCAGGGCTTGTCATGCTCAGAGCAGGTGTTTACCAGCTGGATCTCTTGCCAGTTTCTTCCATTCTGTTAAGCTCCCATGGTCCTCTTAAAGCTGAAAACTGACTTGCTGTCATGCTGCCCGTCTTGCAGTGTTCTTAAACGAGTGCTAAGGAAGCCTTTTGCTGCTTCTATTGCAGAGACCTCCCACATTTTTCCCTGATGGCATTCAATACCTTCCAACATTGGTGGAAATAAGAGATTTTCACATAACTGATCTAATGAATTTTTAATAACCGAGAGGTGTAAGAGGTGGTTTTATAAGCTATGCACGGGACAGAATTGAAATACACGTGCACTTAAATTTCTGTGAACGAAGCACAGATCTGCCATAGCAGTAGATCTGCAGAGAGGAATTGCTCTGGCCTGTCACCAGTCTGCCACATGTGTTTCATCCCTCAGCTGGGTATTCCACACTGCTGTTACAGTAGGAAGGGAATTCAGTCTCGTTCAGGAATCTGGAACTGGAAAATGCTGTTATCTTCCTGGTGGCAGGAATCATAGGGGTTGCAGTATTTTAAGGTGCTTAAGCTTTAAAATGTATGAATCTTTAAGCTGTCTTCTTCTGTAGGGCAGAGTCTCAGATGCAAAGCTGGACTTTGCTGAGAAGCTAATGTATAGGAAACTGCCTTCCTAGTGGTGCTGAAGCAAGCTGTGAATGAAATTAGAGTGAATGTTGTGCTTGCCAGTTGAAACTAACAGTGCAGGATTTTATTGAGGTATAAATAATCCTGTAGAGGAAGTACCAAGGAGGGTGAGAATTAATATCCTTTTGCTTATCACCAGGATCTTGAATATCCTTGAAGGTTAGGATGTAACAGCTTTTCAGTTAATTCAGATTATACTTCAGAGGGGGTCTGTGGATTTTATCTCCTTTTCCCTGGATCATTATGTAAGGCTAGGCTCTTTATAATTAGTTTAATTCCCGATTAGGCTTGTGTGCACTAGATAATGTATTTCCCAAGGCAAAGAATATAAAACTTGTTTGCCCAAATGTCAGTTTTTAAAAAATCCATAGATTGCTTAAGTCTAAAAATACTTTGGATTTCTTTATAGTACAGCAATCTACAATTTAAATTGTATTGAACTTGAATCTTCTGGGATACAGAAATCATACTTTAACTGGTAGGTGCATGCTGCTTTATAAGGGAGTTTCGTTGTTAGGCTAGTGTAATCTTTCCTAGTAAACATATGTAAAGATTAAGGAAGTTTTAGAGAACTTAATAAGCAAATTCCCCATTTTCTGGGAAACATCTGCCAGACGCGATGCTGTTAAGTTTTAGTGGTTTTTTTGATGATTATGTGTTTCAATGAAACAAATGAAACCTGGACTTGAGAAGGTGGCACAGTAGTTACAGTTAGGTAGCTAATAAAATACAGAGAAGTCTTGTTTGTCCTTTAATTTAATTATCTGAAGTGTTCTAGGCTATCAGTATGGTTTTCTTGAAGATAATGTGTTGTCTTTGCCTAATCAAGGATAAATGAGCAGGAACCTTTTCTAGAGAACTGAAAGGTCTCCTTTTCAAGTTTAATTTGCAGCACTTGGTGGAGGATTAAAGTAATCTAATTAAATGGCCTCATTTAAATTTTGCAGTCACCTAAGAAATGGTAGATGTGAAGAGGGAATTATCCATAAAGCATGCAAGTTAAATTAACAGCTTTCTCATTTAACTTTTTCAATTTGGAAGATTTCTTCACAAGACTTGCCTTTTCTTTAGAGTTAGGTTATCTTCTGAGGGATCTGCAGTATGTTGCTTGCTGGGAATGAATTCATCAGCATGTTAAAGACCATTTTTATTCATGGAGTTACTAATAAAATGGTGTACTTTACTGTATGTAGTTAGCATAAAATAAAGATCTTTGATGTTGCTATTAAAGCCTGATGATATTTTCCTGTGCATGGTATGCAGGTGCACTGTAGGCAAGAAGTCTGACATTAGACACTTCAATCCACATGCAGGCAGGTATCATACATGGTGAATGAAATGTTCTGCTGGTCCCAGGGGGAAATACCTGTGTCCTTTTTTGCACACCTGGGTGAGGGCAGTGTCTCTGGTGTGCAAGATTCACTGAGTCTTTGAAAAGTTGGGATTTGTGTATTTCAAAATAGAAATGGAATTCCAGAATGTGGATTCTGATGTTTTCACAAGTTAGGAGCCCCTAAATGCCCTGTCTGCAGTACCTTTCTCTTTCTGTCTTTATAATGTAGATCTGCTTCCAGAAGTACTGCTCTGAGGCATCCTATTCACTGACAAATCCTAAGGGTATTTCAGTTTGTATGAATTTAATGCCACTTCAGTTTTATCTTTGATTTTATCTTCGATTGTATCACCAAGAAACTTAAGTGTTTCTTAGTGAGGTCTTGCCACTTGGGGAATGACTCACTTTAGGGTAATGCTTGCTGTGGTTGCACAAGATATTTTCTCTACTTTGAATAAGTAGAACTTTTGAATTTTCTTTCTAACACTGACCTTATGCAACTGTTGCACTGTACTTCAGGTCTTGTAGTGAATAATATTTTCCAAAATAGACTACATCCTGTAGTCTACAAAGGAAACAATGACTAGGAATGTGAACCTTGATTTGGGAATATTCGTAAGATGTGGGAACAAAAAATGTTGTGGTGAGATACATGATGAGTGGTTATTTCCTATGTTTTAGGCATTGGGGAAACGGAAAACTTTCTCAAAAAATTAGCTTTTAGTCAGATTTAACATTATAGTTTTTGCAGGTTTATGTTGCTGACCACAGGTTTTTGCTATGTCATACTTGTGGCTTTTTAAAAAATACTAAATCTTAAGTTTATAACTTAATAATTGTAACACAGTTGAAAAGTTCAGTTTGTTGCTGAAAATGGGAAATGAAAAAAAAACCAACAAAAAATCATCCAGCCTCTTCTCAAGTTTATTTTGTAGATTACAAAATGGAAACAAAGAAAGGTGGTTTATGTAGAGAATGGAAGCTGGGGGAGGGAGCTGTGATCTGAAGATCATATTACTGCCAAATAACTTCTGGAACTCTGAAGTTCACAAAATGTGTCTGGGTTACTTTTTGTCAGCATGGTGGATTTAGGCACAGAAATCTAGAGTGCATATAGCTGCAAATGTATAGAAAATTGTATTTGTGTGGTGGATTCACGTTTAATGTTGTTTTATTTTTCTTTCTTAGATCCAAGCACCCTTTAAGAACCAATGTACCCAATAGCTCATGGACGAAAAAAATCAAAACAGGACATCGTTGGTTTCCAGGCTACCGAAATATGGAACGAAAACTTTAGGGAGTGTTTTGCAACCCATGCCAAATGGGATGGCTGTGAGCTTAGCAGGGAGTAATGGTGGCAAAAATTTCAGCAAGCACAATGGCACTGTTGGAATGTCTCCCTTTGCTTTCAACTGGAAAAAATCATATAAACATCAGCTTAACGATCAGAATGGGAGAGAGGCCAATGCCAAACGCAACTCTAATGAAAAATTAATTGATTCTGAGAAGTATCCTCAATCTCAAGGAGCTTTGGGCAATGATGAGCTCAGGGTGGGTTTGAACAGTACTGCTTCTGTTGTGTCAAAAGCAGCAAAGCAAACCAATATGTTTGTATCTCCTACTGAGGAATTAAACCCAAAGTCTATACCTGGACTCTCTAGTTCAGCTAAATTCACCAAAGGTACCCTGTCAGGAAGGACATACTCTGGACTCAATGCTCCAAGATCAAATTTAAATGGATTTTATGGAAATCGGCCAGTGGTAGGTTTGCAGAGACCTAGAGCTAATTCTGGTGCCGCAAGGACAAGTTCAGGAGAAAGCCTGGCACAATCTACAGACAATAGCAAGGCTTTTTCCTGTGACAAAATGGTAAGATCACAAAGTTTTTCACATTCCATTCAGAATTCTTTCCTTCCCACTGCATCTCTAACCAGGTCACATTCCTTTAATAAAGCTGTGGATCTTACAAGGCCTTATCATAGTCAGAATCTTGCTGCCAGGACGTCTCAGAGGTCTACTCTGCTGTCAAGGAATGCATGTCAGTTGGATGTACCCAATGGAAATGAACCGGTGAAGTATGGATTTACCAGACCGTACTCGGCTATGTCAGCTCCTTGTTCCAAGAAACCCCCACTGTCAAATGGATCTGGGTCAGCACCTTCCTATGGATACAGATTAAGTCGGCCTTCTCTGCTGAAGCCTGCCAGGCAGCGGTTTGCTGGGAACACCGTTTTGGATGGCAGCAAAAGTGCGGCTGCAGACACGTGCATCGTGGAGAACACGGATATTTCAGCAAATATCAATAGAGCTGTGGATAAAAACAGTATTCTAGAGAGCAGGGCTCAAAGAACAGAACCTGGTGAGGGCCTGCATGAAAGTCTGGGAAAGCATGGGTCAAAAGTGATGTGTATGAGCGATGATGGAGATGAAATATCTATATCTTCTTTGTCATCCTCTGAGAAAAATGATTTGAGTGAAGACTTCAGTGATGATTTCATAGATATAGAAGAGGCAAACAGACCTGTACAAGTCCAGCAGAAGGAGAGCTGCCTTCAGGAATTAGAGCATGGGAGCAGAGTGTCCATTGAGCCATTCACTTCTCTCAAGGAAGGTGGAGGATCTTGCTGTAATGCTGATGACTGGCTTGATATAAATGTGTCTGGTAAATACCTTTTCTATGTTCTGTTTGAAATTTTAGGTGCTAAATCAAAATTCTGTAATGGTAATTAAGTTATTTAATGTAATTGTCCATTGCTTGTGAATTGTTTCAGAATGGAACTGCTCTATGCTGGCATATTTGTTTGCTTGTGCCTTTTCTGCATTACAGATTTTTTCCCAAGCATTACTTTGAAGAGCTCTTTGTGATAGAAATGAAGGTGACCTCCTTTAAACACATTTGTGATGTGGTTGTGGGATTCCTCATATCCTTGCTTTGCCATTCATTTTCTGGGTTGATGATATTTTAAGAAAATTTCACCTCGTGCTCCTTCCACCTCTGTAGGCAGAGAACAGCTGTAGCTGCTTCTAAGTAGTGGAAATAAGTGTAGGATGTGTAATTGAATTAGTTCAGTTATAAACAGGATTGTTACTGGATCTTTTTTGTTTTATCTGATGCATATTAATTCTTTAAAAATTAGTTGAAGACGTGAGGAGATGCTTTTGAAAGCCTCATTTTGAAATCTTTGATGGGCTTTTCATGATAAAAGCTTGTTTGAGAGATGTTGCAATTGAAAGACTAGATCCAAAGAATGTATTTTTGGACCCACCTTCTAATATGTTAAAGAGATTCAGATTTCTAGAAAGCAGCTTCCATGATGGGTGAATTAGGGCAGTATAAAAGGTTAGCAAAGATGTAGTTTGGAAGATTCCTTGGTTGTAGCTGCCAAACCAGCCTGAGCTTTTTCCCCTTCTGGGATGAGGGAACAATACTGTAGAAAGCTTTCAGGTATTTCTGTTACAGTACAGCTTCAGTGAAGGTAGCACACCAGTAACAGGCATTTTAGTGTTTATTTGTTGAGTAGTGGATTGTTTTTGGAGTCTTAACTGATGCTGTTTTCTTTAAGCAGTGGATGACAACAGTGAAAGCACAAAACATGCTACTGAGAATGTCATCTCTTCAGAGATGAACTACAGAGCTGGCTCCTCCTTTGAGCTTTCTCCGTCTGACAGCTCTGACGGCACATATATGTGGGATGAAGAGGGGCTGGAGCCTATAGGAAGTGTCCATCCGTGTGGAAGTTACGACTCTTCAGAAATGAACAGCATAGTATGTATCTATATTCATAACTTCAGTATTATAGTGTGTTGCGTTTATTGCTTATTAAGTATATTTTTAAAATATTAGTGCTTTCAAAAAAATTTTGTAGTTGTTTCCTCTTTCCCCTGTAGTTGATAGCTTTGTGAAGCTTCTTGTTTAGGAGCTCCTGTTTCTGGACAGGTGACTTGGTCAGGCTGCTTGCACACATTTTTTTCCTTTCCTTATTCTAAAGTCAGGACAAAACAGCTCCCTCCTTATGCAGTCTCATAGCAGTGCTCACAAAGAATAAAGGAATTTGATTTCTGCAAAGGATAGGCTTAATACCTCCTATGAATCTTTAAACATAGAAATAAAAAAGCCAGGAAATAGCTATTGCCTCTGTGGCTTCTTGAATTTTTTGTTTCTATGCTGTGTGCTCTTGTAAGCTGCAGCAGATACTAGATTTTTCTTCATTTAATCATAACATCTTTGAGGTAGAGACCTGGCTGTAGCTCACTGTAGCAGGGCTCTTCATACGTCTCCAGTGGGATACACAAATGCAGCACAACCTTTTTCTTGCTGTTAAACTCAAACTGGTCTGCAAGAAGTATCATCAAATATGAAGGGGAGTGGATGGAGAGTTGTTACTATTCTGTGATCCTCCATCTGAGATCAGGTAGCCAACCTTGGAATTTTAGTGGGCCTGAATAAAATTCTATCTGTTCTGTTCATATTCCTTTATCTGAATTAGTAACTTGGATTTTTCTTAACATGATGTTAACAATCAGAATATTTGACAAAACCAATTTGGTTTAATTGATGTGTTGTGCTTCATGTGTTTGAGGCCTGTTAGGTACTGTGTCACCACTGCCCATTTAGTAATGTACATACCACTTTCAGACTTGGGCCTAGATATGTAATTATATTCTTTATGTGTAATATGAATTAATGATAATATTTTCAGCTTCTTGTGGTATTGCTTGCAGTCCATCTTAAATTATGATGTTGGGATCTAGTGCTTCAAAGAGTTTAGCAGTGGTTATTAGCTTTGTGTGGCAATTGTGACCAGCTTGGAAAATCTGTTAGAGATTTTTGCAGTATGGTTTTGTAGCTTTATTGGTGTTTATAGGGAAAACCCAAGTTTCATGGAGGCCACTGCAAAAACAAACACCACTGTCCCCACACACATGCATGCAGGTGCCAAGAAAAGACGGAAGATTTTGATTTTTTTATCCTGTTAGCACTCTTCCAGAATTTTAGAGTTTACTGTACTGTGATTTTATCTGAATGAGAAAAGCATCAATAGCACATTTTATTTTTGCAAGGCAGAAATGCATTTTCAGTAGCTTGGGTTTTGAGGGAGAAAATGTCGCTCTGAACTGTTTAATTGCCTTGTAGTAGGGGGATTTCTTTTTTTCTTGTTCTTGTTGGTTTTGGTAGAAATTAAGATGTATTTGATTTCTTTAGCCTAAAGATTAAACAATGATCTTTTCTAATCTGAAGATGCAGAAGAATTTCTGATGCAGTTTTTCATTCATTCTGAAAAATTGTGCTCTTGAGTAGGTTACTGTAAGCTTTTGTTCCATGTTTTTCCTTTTCTCTGCAAGCAGGGAGTATAAAGACAAAAAAGTGAAGGCATTTGGAATAATTATTGTGATTAGTCAACACGTCAGATGTTTTGATTGCTGGCAGATACGTGATCAAATTATGCAGTTTTTATCCTCTAGTGTGGTGAGTTAGAAGCAGTTCATATCTGTGTGTAAAAATCCAATTGATGAGAGTCAGATTTAAGAATTCGGAGTGCTAAAGGCAGCCTGCCTGCCCCTTGGATTTAGTATTTCCAGGGCAGTCACCAAAGCAGTAGTTCTGGAGTTCCTGTGGCACCAGGCTGGGGTGAGTAGAAGCAGTGTGGCTGAGTAACAATTCAGGGAACTATGTGCTGAGTAATCGGTCATGTTTAGTGCTCAATTCGCCTTTTTCTTCCTCATTTCCATCCTGCTGTTGTTTTGTTAGTCTTCTAAGCTGTATCCTTCTTAGTATCAACAAATAGTAAATGCTTTTCCTAAGCTTTTCCATAGATGGCAGTGCAGCTCCCATTGGGTGATCTTAGGAGTGTTTGGACCATCTTTGGAAGGGCAGCTTTTGCAAAAGGGATTTTAACTGGGCTTCTGAAATGAGAACCAGCATAGGAAGGCAACAGCAGGAACTTGCTGGCCTCTGATGCTCATTATTCCTTTTTGGGGAGCAGAGAAACCAGTATCTTTGCTATTCTCAGTACATCTTGGTTTTAAAGACATGGGAACGAAGAATAAAATAAATTTGGCCTCTTTTAGTACAGTCCTTCTGTTCTTTACTGAGTGAACAGTTATGAAGAAAATACGTAATCCAGTGTTGGAGGTTTAAGAGTCATACAAATCTAAATGATATCATAGGAAGGACTTAGGGCTTGGTAGGAAAATCTGTGTGTTTTTTGTAAGGATGAAAATATTTTTATTGTCTAACTGCATAACAGAAAATAACTAATTCCACTATCTCAGTTGTTCCATTTACACTTTGGAAGTCAAATCACTTGGATAACTTTCTAAGTGCTGAACTCCTTTCAAATTTCTAAGCACTGATTTTTTGGTGTTCTCTATAGTCTTTTCATCAGCTAGTGTTTGCTGCTGAGCACCAAGTTCAGTTCTGTGTGAGCAGATTGATGCTTAGCAGAGCAGTTGATGGCTCTGTAAATTAGCAGCAAGGGCAGTATTTATAGGTGCTCTCACTTGTTTTTAGCTGTGCTGTTTGCTCCTGTCCTGGGTTTTAGTTGCTGGCTGCAATGCCTAGTTCCTTTACTGCTTCATGGCAGAAAGCTGCTCAGCAGTGTGAGGTACAACTCCTGGTTGTAGTTTAGTGTTGCTAGATTTTTATTTTCATTAATTTTGGTCTGAAAATACTGTTCACCATACATGTAAGCATTGTAGCCTCAAACAGGCATCCTGACCAGAGTCTCATGGCTCCTTTACTTGCCCTCTCATGTTGTAGCAAGGTTTGAGGTGTTTTCTCATCTCCAGAGTATTAAGTAGGCACATGAGAATCAGAAGGTTTAATATGTGTTTGTTCAGAGGGAAGCTTTGAATGTTTTTGGCAAGTGCAAGTCCCTATTTACATTGAGGATAGGTAGTACAGCTGTGATTGTTCTGTGGTATCTGCTTGTTTTTAAATATGCTACAATATTCTGGTGCTCAAAGTCTGCAAGAAGTAAAAGTTTAAACTGAAAACTTTCCAGTAACTTTGACTTTTTTCTGTAATATTCTTGAGAGAAGAAGTTCTTGTGATGTGATTAGTTTTTTGGGGGTTTCTTTGTGTCTTTTAAAGGAATCTCCTTTGGGCCAGTAGGTTTGGACAGGAAGCTTTCAGAGTGTTCCCTGTACTGTCAGATTGAGTCCTCTGCCCTTGTTTTCCTGTAGGCTGCAATAGCAATGTGATTCTTTGTGCTATGCTCGTTTTTCCTGAAGTAGATAAAGCCAGTGTTTTTGGGTATATGCAGAGTGAACATCAATGTAATTATAAAGACATAGGATTATGGAATAATAATTGAAATCTGGCTTGAAGAGACAGATGGGTTTTAACTGCTTTGCTGAGAATTTAATTGCTCTTGGGATGAAATCTGGTTCTCACTGGAATGAATCAGTTTGACACATGGCCAGAATTTTAGCCAGAGTATGAAACAGTTAGATTTTTCTCTTCTCCCAGGCAGTTTTTGAAATCGTGTAAGATTTCTGTTGTTGTTCCTTGTTATATTTTTCCCCTTTGTGACTGTAATTTGGGCAAGGGCAGTTTTGAATTAGTTTTTGAGACTTGGGAAAATGCTTTCTGGTTCCTGAAACATTGATACTGAGTGAAATATGCTCTACTTCTTAGAGAAAACGAACTTGCTAGAATAGAATTGTTTAGTTCAGTTATTAATTTTTCAGTAGTTATTTACAAGTAATTTAGTGTTAATTACCTTAATTTTTTAAATAATTCAGTTCTCAAAATGTACGGTAAATAGTAAGGTTTAAATACAAATGTGATTTCTCACGTGAGTAATTTATTAATGTGAATTCAGACTTGAAATAGATGTAGTTCTAATACATTTTATTTCCTTAGAGTGAAGTGTTCTTGGTATTGCCTTCTACCCATTTTCCTGTCTTTGGTACAACTTTGTTTTCAGAAAGTTAATGCCAAAACATCAATTCTTGTTCTGTGAGAAGCTGGGCTTTGTAGATTTTGTGATGTTTGGTTACAGCAGTAATGAAAATAAAAGTGCCAGTAAGATAATGTAAAGATAATGTAAAAAGTATGTAATCCTTTCTCAACACAAACTTTTCTTTTTTTGCTATAACTTTCTAAAAGAGAAGTCACAAAACGAGTCCTTCAGGTGCAAGCTAGTTACAAGAAGCACACATTAAAAGCCTTTCATCTAGTGAGCCAGTTGAAATTCAGTTCTTTTTTCTCTTTTCATCTTGCAAAGAACAATGAAGATCTTACTCAAATCAGAGAAGAGTATTAAAAAGACACGTATTTCTTGACAGACTGTACTCAAATGAACAATGTTGAATTACTGCATTTCCTCCTTTCTTAGAATATAAAAGGTGAGGTTAATAAAGAAAATTAATTGCATTTTGTGCTCCCATGATGCTTCCTAAAAGTCATTTCTGTACTTCAGTTGAGCACTTCTTTAAGAAGTATTTTATTTGTTCTGTGCCTGAAACCAAAAGATTATTTAATCTCAGTCAGTGCCTTTTTGACTAAAATTCATTATGGCATTAATAAATACACATTTCCAATTTTGTATGTGGTAGAGATTTTTTTGCTAGTGAATGTGATTCAGTGAGAACTGATGAATTGTTAGATGCCCAATACTCTTGTGAGGGTGCGAGGTTGGAAGGAGAAAGAAGACTTTATTCTTGTGGTATAATTATTTAATGAAGAATAATTGTTCTAGTCTTAGGGAATCTTACTGTATGCCTGTGTTGTGGTGATTTGAATTTTGAAGTATCTGTTGC